TTGTGACGCCCTCGTTCCCGCAGAAGAAATTTAGTTTCAAGAGATAATCGATCGATAAACAGACACAATTTCGCGTAAATTCACACGTCAGTTGAACGCAAAAATCGTTCGCAGTTTCACGGTGTGTTCGTTCCATTCGTGTTTGATGGATAAATTACTTGCACATCTCACGCGAAAAGTAAGTAGAACATCTCGTTGTCGACGCTCCTAAAGTTTTCGAAAGTGAGTTTCCAGTAACTTCACGGCGATTCGATACGTTGTTGAAAGAAACGATCGAAATGTCGAGAAACGAACTATCGAGAAACGCAACTGTCAGATGCATCCGCACCGATTCGCGTGTTCGTTTCGCGGAAAAGTCCGCCTACCAGCTGTAGCTATACATCTTGCCGGTTGAATTAACTTGTCACCTTCCCCCTTATTTTTTCGCTAAAATATGGACGTCTTGTGGATGTCTTGGAATATTAAACGATGCCGACGAAAATTTCTCACGTCAATTAACGTCCGGTCATAAAAAAATATGCTTGACGAATGGAAAAAAGTTTAAATCACCCTGACCTGCGCTCGATGTCGGAAATGAAATTTCGTTGCGTTTCTCTCTGCAGCATCAGTTTTTCATTATAAGCTCGAGTAGACACGTGTTTTGACAAACAATGACAGACGCTAGATAAATATATATATTCGCTGTGCAAATAAAAGATAGAATTGCTCACGGCGAATTTTTTCACGGCTTTATACATCCGCTCTGCCGGATATTTTTTTCTATAAATTTAAAGGATTATCGAATTAATTAACAATCATATGCATGACTGATGTGGGGAACGTTTGTGTCGCGAGTAAATTCTCGCATCGATCGATATTTTACGAGGCTTCCAAATGACGCCCGTATCTATGTGCGTGTCGAGTGGATAGTCATTTCCAGAATCCTTCGCGAAAAGAACGGAGGACATCCGGAGTACCTCGAAAACCGTATTAAAGAGCGCACGGTGCACAAATGGTTTTCGCTCTGCCACAGCTGTTGGAAAGATGCGTTCGTTAATGCCGTTAGCATTAATTAATCACCGGCATGCAGATAAATACCGTATATCACGATGGTAACCAGACGCGTAAGCGGGCGGCCGCCGCATCTGCCGATAATTATGAACAAGCTAACTCATTAGTCGCAATCGACGCTAACGGCCTCGTTGTTGCGCGAGCCATCGCCCCGTTTCGGGGAAGGGGGGAGGGGGCGAGGTTCATCCGGGGTCTTCTATAAGCTGTCGAATTACTAACCGCGCGCTCGCGTTAAGAAGATTACGCGCGTCCAATGTGACGGGCACAATGAGATTACGTGTCAAAAAGAAGATACGGCTGGAGATGATTACGGGGAATTACCGTCGTGACGTCCGATGTTACGATAACTCGAAATGTTGCGATGGTAATACCCACGGGAACAACAGTGACGAACGGATTACAGTCATCAATTATACCTAACGCCGTGCACCGACTTGATCGCCTTTCCGTAATCCGACGCGATGCTAACCAATCTGGTCTCTATTAATTTTGATGAGAGTAAGACATTAATGGGAGGAAATAATGATATTATTACTGCCGAAAATTCAATTCGCCCCGCGCTCGAGAAGAGCTCGCCGAGTAACGTTAATTTGTCACAATACGCGGCACTTAGCCACACACAATTATAAGAGCCAATTATTAGCGTGAATATTAATTTTTAATTATGCTCCTTCGATCCGATTTATTCAAGCTATTGCGCACGGCACATTAGTAAACAAATGTCAAAATACAATGCGATCGAGTTTGTAATTTCTCGATGACATAATATAACAAATCTGCACTTTGACCTCGCGATAATTTGAATTCAACCACCGTGTGAACTGTCAATTCGCTGACCTAGAATATTCCTCGTCGAAGATTCCTCCACGCGATAATTCTTCGCGAGACGCGGGCTGCGAGTTAGAAAAATCTACCTCTTACAGATCAGCGGAAGTTAGAAAATATCCGGACGGAGTAGCACTAGGGGCGATCCATTTCCGAGTGACGTCGAAGCATTGGCCGCGGCGCCGTGAGATCCATCTGATGCGCTTCAAGTGCATAATTAATCGCGGGACTTAATCGAGTGCCGAATTAATCGCGACGGATTTACGGGCCGCGTTGTGTATGACAGTGACACTTGCCGCTCCGATTATGAAACGCCGTCGCCGATGCAAGTGATTTAGTAGTAACTAAGCGCGAGAAGGAGAAAAGACCGGAGAAGGGAAGAAGGGTGTATCGCAAGAAACGCCGGAAGATGAATCGCGTATCAGAAAACATCCCGGAACACTGATCCCTGACCGTGGGAATAAAGAAGGAGGAAGGGTTTTCGCGCTCGGGTAGTGCGACGCATTTTCATCTCGCCGCTCTAATTAATCTCCGGGACGTCTAACGAGCGGACCGCTCGTGGGATCCTCCTCGTATCACGACATCCCCTCGCCGAGGTGATACCGATCTTGCGTGAAACTCTCAGCTGCAGGTGGCTAGGCGAGCTGCGAGAGTAGCGCAAGCTGTGGAGATAAGACGAGAGAAAGAAGATGTGAGAAGATTCGACATTCGAGATGCCGCCTTAATTAACAGAGCTTCGGCTAACTGGAATTCGATTTCTTTAAATACACCCGTTGCGGATAGTTCGATCAAAGCACGTCGAGCACGAGTTCCGAGTCGGTGCCGACGTAAATTAAAGACCATCGACATCGATAACCTCGCTTAAGTGGTTTCAACCAGCGGCACTTTACACTGGTGAGGATCGCGGAAGGTGGTGGGCGACGTGTCTTCGATTACGGCTTTGGATCTCTCGAGCGTCGGCGAAGAAGTCGATAAGGGCGCTACTTCGCTAAGGGGGCCTTCAATCCTTAAGGGCGAATAGAAAGACGAAAGACGCAAGGATGGAGGAAACCTCTGAAAGCCTGTCTCCCTGATCAAACTATCGAAGCAAATCCCCGAGGCGACTCCGATGCTTCGAAAGTCATCTTCGCCGAAGAATTTGCAGCGGATGAGGATCAAAGTGAGAAAAGCGTAAGGAAAGTACATTTTGCGTAAGGAAAGTACATTTTGCGAGCGATTAAGAAAAGTTTGATCGAGCAGAAGCTCGTTGAGTAATTGATTTCTCGGCCGATCAGGTAAATGCCGGTAAAAGGTCAACCCGTAGACATTCGGGCGAGCGGCAGCGGTGACAAACGGCGCGCCTCAATAGGATGTTTCGAAAGATTAATTTCGAAAGTGGCCGAAAGAATTTCGAGTTACGAGTTAAGGATTGAATGAATCGTTTGAAATACGTTGGAGCTCAAAGATCGGCGATTAAGGACGGCGCGGATTATTGACTTTGCGGCGCGGAGATATTAAGTGATGGGATGACACAGTGGCGTACACACAGTTGAGCAAAGAGCGCGTTCCACTCCACGAGAACAAGAAATCGGAAAACAAGAGGAATAAGAAGCGCGGAGGTAGCAGCTGCATCGGACAGAGTGTATGGCGATGAGACCAGGAGGGTTAATCTGAAAGGTTGGATAGAACGAAGGGAAGGAGGGTTCCCGAAGTAGCTATCGCGACAGTGGAAAAAGTGGACCTTCGGCCCAGCTGGATGTAAGAAATTGGGGTGGGCTCGAGGATGTGTGAAGACGAATGCGCCGATAAGAAGAGCTGGCTAAAGAGGGAAGAGAGCATTGATCCTTGAACTCTGTTATCCCAGCGAGAGAAACAGAGAAGTGTTTCCACGTGCGCGTTGATAAAATCGAGTGCGTCAGTTTCGGCCGATTTTATCAGTGAAAAACATTGCCGAACCTCTGGAAACAAACCCCCAAGAGAATTATTAAGAATAGTCTTGCGAAATAGTAACCGAATTTGAGAGAACCTTGAAAAAAGGAATTAAGATAAATCTCTATTCTCGCCGCACCGCAAAGAATATGTCTTCAAATTATCGCCGACCAAGAGGACGTGATTATGCTGAATAATCCTTTCGAGAAAGCTAATTAGACACGCGATCGAGACGAAGGAGCCAAGATCCTGTTACATCCTGGCTATCCTGCAACCCGATTGAAGGAAGTGCTGCGGGTGAGCCGGTGGGTTAACGGTGATGGCATGAGGACATTAGTAAGGACGCGCTGCGGGTCCAGCGAGGAGGAGGATGAGGATGGTGGTGGGCGTGATGGTCCTTGGTCAGCTACTGACGAGGATCTTGCTCGCGGCCCACGCAGGAGATCGCCTCGCGGCAGCTCGAAGGATTTTAAGGGACGTACCATTGATAGATGGGTAAGTTAAGTCTTATGTAAACAGGATGCCTTTCGATAAGACATCTAATATAAGCCATTAAACAATAACGACGTAATTAAACCAGCAATGATATAATTTTAATTTTAACGACTTCTCATCATATTTCATTTTTATCAATTTTATTACTTTTCCTTATAATTTTATTTATTTATCAACCTTTTTAAATTAATTTTCTTCAAAAACATCCGAGTATTTAAAATTTGCGATGATTCTTCATTGCGAAATTATTACACGACCGTTTAATTATACTGTAAAATATTTGTAAAAATAATTTTAAAAAACATTTAAATGACTAAACTCCAAGTAAATTTTTTTTCTATAATTTGTGCTGTTATTTTAATTTATCTGTACTTGTGGACGGTAGACTTGTGAATTGTACGTACATTACGCCTGCGGCCATTTTCGCTCCGCAATATTTCACAAAGCAGTTACAACCGGAAAATATATGCGTCAAACTAGCTAGTATAATTTGTGTTCGCGAGGAAAATAGAGAAGAGAATTTGCGCGTATGAAAATCCGTCGGCCGCACAGAGAAGCATCAGAAAGCTGCAATTCAATTACCGTAATTAATATCAGTCTTAAAAACAATGCGCGTTCATTAATGACGTGTACGCGAATTCAGGATAGATCAAAGCCGTATTGTTGCGCCTGGCAAAAATCCTTGGCGCCGAATTCAAAAATGAAATAACCGGATTCTATTTCCAAATGAAACAAAAGTTCTCGTGAAAACTCTCGCGATGCAATTCGCGAAAGCCGGCAGTAGAATGTCGCCTCGCCCCCGTTCTCGCATATCTCGCTACCCTTTGTTACGTTGACGAGCAGCGAAAAACGCTGCGTTGAAAATTCAACGGATAACTTGAATCCCATCGTATAATCGTTAGCCGTGGTACCGCGAGACACGAATTTACAGCCGGCGAGAACAATGTCGTCGTAACGACGCGCACGGTCGACTTTGTATGGCCGGGCGTGACTCTAATTACACCGGGAATTAAACTTCAAAGGAACGTCCGTCGTGTCCGATTTGCTACGACGCGCTGCATCCGTCCACGCTTTCACTACCGACAATTCCATTAGACGACCATTCTATTGAACGTCAATCTTATTAACGTTCATGTCGTATTCAGTTACAAGTTCGAAGTTAGAAGCGAATTCGGGACACTTGATATAATAATCCGAAAGAGGTCACTCCTGAGATGTTGGAAAAATTAAAAATTGTAAAACATACAACCGGAATAATTGAGAGATGTCTTCTGTTTCCAGACTGTAAATTCAGACTTTACACGATTTATTCTACAAGTTGAAATTAAATATTCTCGAAACTTTTTTTTAATGTAACGTTATGTCGTTATAATTTTTAAACTATTATCTCATAATTTGTTTTTAAATAAAAATTCGCAGATGTTATCTATCAAATTAAAAAATATTTAACTGATGCGGATATAAAATATATGTTAAAATACTACGAGTAAAATATTACGATAACTCTTTCCAATCTCCTTATAATTTTTAATCGTTAAATATTGAATGTTCGAGAGCAATTCTGCTTAGAACAATTCTGCTTAGTATTCTATGAACCAACAAGCTAATTCCAAGAAATAGATAGTAGTAGTGCAGTAAATAGAAAATAAGATCAGACTCTAGTGCAATGGGAATTAAAAATAACCAGATAGTGTTACGTAGATAGAATTCGCCAGTCCGTCGAGGTCGATATCGGAATCCGGTTCCTTATTCAAAACAACAACAAAAAAAAAAAGAAAAAAAGAAAAAAAGAAACGAATTGAATTGTACTCAGTTCGA